AAAAAAAAAAACCTGCGGCGCGGCCAGAGCCAGGGTGCAGGGGGACTCCCTGCCCTGCAGATGTGCCCCGTCTAGCAGGGGGAGGGAGAGGGAGCGGAGGGAGAGAGAGAAGGGGGGCGGCCAGGGCTTCAGCGGGGCGCTGCCACACGGCCCCTCCCGCCATGCCCCCTGCCGGGAGGGCTCCACACCGCTCCGGTCGGCTGGGAGGGAAGGACGCGGGCTGCCCTGCCGGGCTTGCTGCAGGGCGCTCCCGTCCTCCACGCCGCTGCCCCCTACAGGATGGCCGGAGTGGAACAACAACAACAACAACAAAAAAGCGCCCGTGCCACCCTAGGATTGGGCGGAATGCCGCCTCCTACAAGCTGCCGCCCCAAGCACCAGCTTGCTCGGCTGGTGCCTGGAGCCGGCCCTGCACACATCCATCCCCCCCCATTGCCCCAACCACTGCTGCCTCCCCCGGCCCCGCACCCATCCCATCATCGCCTCTGGCCCCTGCTGCCTCTCCCTCCGCCTCCCCCACCCTCAATCCGGGGCTTAATGGGTCCTGGGACTTGCTGAGAAAAGTGATATTTACAAACATGTAAGTATCACTTGTCACAGCACACTTACTAGCTATCTGTATGTAAGCAGAGTCAGGATGAGCTCTACCCTGACATCTGGTGGTGAATTATGGCAAGTGTGGAAAAGAACTTCAGGGGCTGATCTTGTTTGCATAGGCACACCCACCCCACCTAGCATGAGCCCACGGCAGCCCAAAATGGTCACTTTGGCTGTTGTGGGATCCCCAGTTTCTCTGTTATTGGGGCAAGAGGAATAAAGTGTTGTTACCCTGATTATGTGAATCAAGGACAATGAAACTGTTTTATGACAGAGGGTCTCACCATCACCTAAGTAGCACTCGCTAGACAAGGGACATGGGTTCCAAAACCCAGTGAATTGAGAGAGGCTGGGGACAGATATTTGTACCTGATAGTATGCCCTTCTCCGTTGAGGGCCTGAAACATCAATTGCACCACTTCCTCTCTTCACTGTTGAATAGCAGAGCTAATTTTGATTCTATTAAGAATCTAGTTACAGACTGCTATGCTGAATTCACTTTGGGCCAATGGTGCACCAGCACTGGGGCTCCTCTACTATGAGCTGAAATCACTGAGTGCTGTGTTAACTAGTGGGGGAGCCTGAAGATTTATTGCTAAGTGGCTTGCAGAGCAGAGCAGTTTGTGGGAGGCTTGGCACGGCCCATGGGACGGCCAGTGGAGCTGAGCAGTTTGTGGGACGGCTGGAGTGGCTCACGGGACAGCTGGAGGAGCAGAGTGGAGCAGCTCGTGGTGAAGGCTGCAGCAGAACCCCATGGAGAGGCGGGGCAGTCAGCCTTGGACCACGTAAGGTGCCCCCTTAATATCCTGTGTGCCCCTTCCCCCCCACCTATTTCCACCCAGGCTGAGGAGGGGGTAAGACTCTGCAGATAAACTTTTGAACTCTGGGGCTGTACTGACCAAGGACAGAGACTTTTGGGTGATTCTTGAGTTTCTGGACTCAAGAGACTTTTGGGATTTTGGACTTTTGGGGGTGGGTCTTTTGCTCATGGTTTGTGTTATGAATCCTGTTTGTGGTGTTTTCCCAATTTAATGCTGATGTCGTTTACCTCATGTTATTAAACATTTTCTGCTACACTCAGACTCCGTGCTTGCGAGAGGGGAAGTATTGCCTCTTAGAGGCACCCAGGGGATGGTATGTAATTGTCCCAGGTTGCTGGGTGGGGGCTTGAGCCGGTTTTGCATTGTGTTATTGAAACAGAACCCCTAGATACAGAACCCGGCCCTTGTGGCTGCCAACTCAGATGGGCAGAAGGGTTACATGTGAAAAGTGATACCTGTATGTTTGTTAATATCACTTATCACTTTTCATAGCCTCCCAGGTACCTACTAAGTGTGCTCTGATGTTAACAAATATACAAATATTCATAGCAAGCCCCAGCACCCATTAAACCCTGGATTGAGGGGGGGGGAAAGGGGAGGCAGCATTATTTTTGTTATTAAGTCAGCCAAAAAAACCTAAAAATATATATTACAATTATTTGGATGTGAATGTGTGCAAATTTAATTGTTTTTCCTAAAGTTAATTAAGTATTTTAGGAAAAAAGTGTCAGTGTGGCCACCAGTGAGAGTTGGTGGCCACACTTTAAGGCCACCAAAAATTTGTTGTGAGAACCCCTGGCCTTGGCTACTTAGGAGTGGAGCTATTGAGCCCCAGTATCCTGGAGCAGCTCCCAGCAGGGATTGGGTGGGAAGAGCTGCCAGACCCTACATTTACCACCATTTGTGGCTAGTTCCTGATTCTGCTGTTGCGGCTTTTGTTGTGGAAAGGCCTTCCAGAACCTGGGCTCTTCCATACAACTCCTTAATTGAGACAGAGCCACAGCTTATTGTATCAGCTGTCATGTTTCTTGGCACAGATCAAGCTATCTTTAACTAGCCAGGATTCCATTCCAATTTTTCTATGACATAATCACCAGCACAGTTAAACAGGCTGGAGTATACTCTGCACTGATCTTTCCTTTTTAAATTGTATGAAACAAAATAGTGAATAGAGCCAAAATGTCAATACAAGGTTCAAAACTTTGTGTTAATTTAGGCATGAAATATAAAACGACAGCGCTGTAACTGTCTTATTTTGGTTTGAAAGAGCAGAAGTTGGTCAACATGGTAAACTGAAACTCCAACGGGGACCTGACTATCGTTCAGAAGATGCAACCACATGGTTATAAATTACAGTGGGCACTGATGGAAAGGTCACCCTTTCAGAACACGAGACACACTGATGGCTTCTAAATTAACTGTAACCAATCAGGAAAAAACCTGGGCATGGACAGCTCAGTGAAAACCTCTGCGCAACGGCCAGATATGGTCAAATAAGCAAACAAGATGGGTTAGGCTGTAGAATAAATAGAGAATAAAACTGAAACTAGTGTAATGCCATAACATACATTGAAGCTACATGCTCACCTTAAAGACTGACATCTACCTATCTTATTTACTTATATAGCCTTCATTACCATAGTACCTAAGTATC